ACAAGGTCACTGAATGCTCAAAGCGTTCTATAAAAAAAGACCCCATCTATTGAGATTACTACATCATGACCATTTCACTGATATGCATCATCGCTCACCTTATTAACTAACATACTTGCAGTAGCTTAAAGTAGTTGACCTGAGCTTTTTATTTTATTTTATTTTATGTTGTTGTATTGAATCGCCGGTATAGGTATTGTATTTCATTTCACAACAATAAAATACATTCATACATTCAAAGCCTGAATCCAGTATTAAAAATTTTAAAATTTAAATACTTCAAATACAGCACAAAGCTTGTTTAAGCCCTTTCCTCGAAACCAATTGGCCACAAAGGCACGATCTTTTCCACGAAAATCCTCTAACACCGCATCCCCCATGATAGCTCGCCACGCCAAAGATTTTACATGAAATTGAGGGTTCAGTTCAAATTCCCCACCCCTAAAGCATGGGGATCAAATTCCCCACCCCCTGGAAGACTCTGGTAATCAAATTCCCTCCTCCCCGGGACGGCAAAGGTGTCAAATCCCCAGGGTATGCCCGGGGGGGGGGGGGGCATGTTGAAGCTTCGATTTGACCGATACATAAGTTCCAACATAGTTGTTAACATCTTCACAGTTTCATACCTTCATCTGCAGTTCAAAGTATGATTCATTTCATATATTACCATTAATTTTAATCTTAATTGTGCACTGCTCCTATGAAATTATATTGTGGTTCTTGAGAGGATACAGTGCAGCACATACTTTTAGGAAATTGAATGCCTTACTTTTTGGGAAGCAAAGCACACAGTCATGTTAGAAACCAGAAATTGTTCTATTTGCACCATAGTTGTATCGTTAGTAAAGCTAGGTTTAAAGAAACAAGTTGCAAAAGATAAGACTCTTAAGAGAGTCATAGCAGTCATAGCTGTTTTGGATTCTCTTGTCTACATACACCATTATTAATCTGCAAATACAACTGTCTCTCTTGTGAAATGTCCCCGGTGGCAAGGAAAGAAAATAGGCTGCTTTATTTACAGGGCACACTGTACATTATTATTAGGAGGCATTATTTTCAAGATTGAGGATAAGGGCTTTAAATAGCAAAGTGGCTTCACTCCTGTTACATTAACTAGGAACCTTGAACGTTTCGTATTAAAAAGGAAAAAAATATATTAGGTAAAGTTTCAGGAAAATTTGAAACTTTTGGGAATAAGGTGCTTATATGTTTCTATATTTTCCCAGAAAGTCTTTGGTGGAGCTCATGAGAAGGCTAGGAATGTTTATCGATTTGGAACTTTAGTCCGGGATTGGTAGAAATTTAGCTCGGACATGTAAACCTTTGATATGACTTGTCCATGGGACAAGCACATTTTTAATTAGAAAAATAAGAAACAGTTGCCTTAAATATTCCATTTAACTTTGCCATTCCACTGCCATTCGTTTCATCCATTTGCTTTTTTACAAGCTCTGTTGTAGGTTTAATTCAAAAATAATATACAAGGGTAATAATGTGGTTAAATAATGTGATTAAAAACATTAAATGCCCGTTGCAAGCTAAACTTTTTGCACAAGAACTCTAGGTTTCGGACAACCAAATTTAATGTATTGCTTGTGTGAAGGACAAGTGGATAGGACAATTTCTCTCTTACCAGAAGGTGATTTTTAAAGCTTGCCATTCGGGTAAGCTGAAGCTAGCATATACTAGCCCAAATGTCATTTCAACTAGCTCCCAAACCGTTTTGATGAGCATAATTGATTTCACAGTTCTTCTTTAATTTGAATTCCTCAAAAAAACTTCACTTGCCCATCGGGCAAGTTAAGTTCAAAATTCACTAGCTCGATAGCAAAATCCACTAGCCCCCGGCTATCGGACACTATTTTCTCTTGCGCACTGCTTGCTCTCTAATAATAATAATAATGTACAAACAGCAAGAAGAGAACTCGGATGGCGACATCTGCTATTTGGAGAATATTTGCGGAGCTGGACAAACCTAAACGTAAACTATCGAAGATAAACTTAATATCGTTGCAGGTAAGCTTGTTTTAGCTATGTTTTTAAACTAGGAATTATTTTGAATGAATAATAAATCAATTATTGAATTCGGCTTCCGTATCATATGAAGAATTATGGAGATCTCGGAGGGTGTTATCCTCCTCGGCCGATAACACACTCCTCGATCTCCATAATTCTTCTTAAGATACTCAGCCTAATTCATTAATTGTTAAATAAAACCGAGACTAAGCGGCAAAAAGTTCAAATCCCCGACTGAAAAAAGGGAAAAAGAGATTATAATGCTTTGCGAGACGAAAGCAGGCTGTTTCAAAACCCACTCTTCTCGAGATTTCCTTCATCCAAACGCTAAAAATACGAAATGCCATTACCTAAACCCTTACGATCCCGGGCCAGCGCGTCGGACTCGCAATCCGGCGGTCCCGAGTTCGAGTCGGAAACAATGGAGAGGTACGACAAGTTTGGATATCTTTATCAGAGTGCATAAAAGTGTAGGATTTGCATATTTATTACCTTTCTCTCAACTAATAATAACACACGACCTTATCTTAACGAAATTCTTGCGCATGTTATTCATGAGATGAAGACAAAAGGTTATGACGTCATCGGCGTTAATGTATTTCCTCGCAAGTTACTGAGCTCCCCCGCAAAAAAATTAATTTCATCCCTATACTACTTGACTTAGTATACACACCACTGTTATTACTTAAAACGACAACGGCATTTCAGTCTTTCGACTCAGATAATATAAACAGATGAAGTTTGGATGAAATTTCTAAAAAACGCTCAATTCAATTCCCAATACGAAAACCGGACACAACGTCTAATAGAAGCCCTCAAGCTCCTAGACAATTAGCTCCGAGAAAAACAATTCAATTTATTCAGTTTCTGTTTTGATTAGCAAGAAAATATGCGTACAGTAAGGATTCTGACATCAAAATCTGAGGATTGAAAAACACAGGGTCTAGACGTATTAATGCCGATGGACTGGATAGTCTGCTATTTATTTACTGTGGTGGTATATTCGTAGAATACATTTTATTTTTGTGGAGTTTGTTACAGTTATGAGAACAAAGAGATTAAGAGTCACGTTCACGGCAAACGGCGAACGTCAGATTTAAGTTGAGAATTGCTCAGAATAGAAAATAAGAAGATAAAAACTGTTCAGAACAATTCTTATGGATAAAGCTGGCGTGGAACAAAATAGTGTTGAGTAGACGTAATAAACAGTAAACGACTATTAAGGGGAAAACTTCAACACCGCCAAGTGAACGTGATCTCTCTAATAAACGCCTCTTTCTTTTAAACCCATCCTGTTTATCAAACGCCCCCGCTTGGGTTCCCAAAATTAAATAGACGTCCCAGGAGTCTATTAGATCATTTACGGTATACAAAATTGCCTTTCAGCAAAACAAAGAACCACAGGGTAAACCTGCAATTAATAATCGAGGAAGGTTTTGTTTGTCCATGAGCATATTGCAACAAGCGAGCGTTTTTAGTCGTTATAGCGTCAGAAACATATATTAAGGGTTTGTGCGAGATAACAGATGTGAATGAATCTAACATCGGTTAAGGTACAAAATATTTTGCCATTCAGCGAAATGTTCGTCTTCATTCAGTGCGAGTAGGCCAATTAAACTTGTATTGCTTGGCAAGATATCAGACGTCGACTAAACATTATAAACATACGAGTACACCGACCGAAAATACAGACGAACGACGGAAAATCTTGATGAAAAGGTTAAGCTGACTACTTCAAGACGACCAACTACCACAGGTTTCCGAAGAATAGGAGTTGCGTTCCCCTAAAGTCGAAAGCAGATATTGAGACATTACAGTTATAATTTTTCCGTAGTCTTTTCAGATACTAGTTCAAACCGTCACCAGATGTTAGCAGGACATTTTGCCTCGCTTTCGTGCACTGTGACGTTCAACAAAATAGCTGACAATTGAAACGCTTGCTCAACATTTGCTGTACTCGATTCACTTCTCACTTGACGTATCGATTATTTAGAAAGATTGATATGTTTTTTTCTTATTTAGTGTTTTTTCTTATTTAGTGCCTACTTGTACTACTTGTCACGAACAGGAGTTGCTGGGCTTTTTTCGAAGAATTGGGTCATTTACAAAAGGCTTTGAGTGCAAAAACAAGGGGGAAGGAGCAAGAAACTGTGACCTAAATAAGACGTAGGACCATACTCTCGTAAACATACATTAATGTTAAAGAAGTATGTAAATACAAGTTACGCGCGGATCGTGTTGGACTGCTACTAAACCCTGTGAAATTCAAGACTTTAACAGCGTTAGGAGATCGATCTTTTGCTGCTGCTGCTCCTCAGCTATAGACTTCATTGCCCTATATGATTAGGAGTAGCCCCTCAGTAACATCTTTTAAAAAGACACTCAAGATATTTTTATTTCAAGAAGCTTTTTTGTAATTTCATGTGCTTTTTAATCTCGTTTTAAGGAGGTTTTAAGCAATCTTTTTTACGATTTAAGTAGTCTAGGTAATTTTTATATTTTTAGTGTTGACGTAATTGTTTTTAAAACTCTTTTTGTTAGGCTCATACACTTTGTATACATTAGGTAGTCTTGGTCATTTGTTTTTTTTTTTTTTCAACTATTTTTTTTTTGAAGCGCTGCAATAGCAATATTGGTATCGGCGCTATATTAGTTTTGTTATTACTATTAACGTACAGTCATATACAAATCGAACCGAAGTGAGAAGATACATAGAATATAACGCGTGTTACTGAAGATGATCTGCTCGCAGCACTTAAATTTCCTTTTGGAACCACTAGAAATATTGCAATGACGTGCAAATTCGAATGAGTTTTTCAGCTCTTAGGCCTAGTAAGTGTTAAAATAAGCTACTTACTATTTTACTTACTAACGTATTAACATGTACTTAATGCTCCATTTAAAAAGTTTTGTCAGTCAGAATGCTTTCCAGAGCAACAAAAGTTTTCACTTTCCTCCTAGGACTGCCTAGGAAAGTAAACGTTCTAAGTGCATTTCAGCACCTTCACAAAAGCTCTTCTGAATTCTTTATTTTTCCATCCGTAAATAAGAGGATTGCAGATGGCGTTCAAGCCAGTTGCCACGTCGTAAACGATAAACTTATAAGGCCTACGTTCTGGATGGCCACACTCTGGCAGCTTCCCAAAAAAGCGAAGGCATGTCACAACCAACAACGGTATGATACTGAGAAGGCATACTCCTATCACCACGGCGAGAGTGCGGTTGGCTTTCATTTCATGCTTGATTCGAGGTAATCCTGAGATGTCAGCTTGCTCTCTGATCTGCCTTCCGTGCTTAAGAGACACGATGAAGATGTAGGAGTAGGACCATAAGATAATAACTAGGGGGATAACCAACAGTGTTATCAACAAGAATATGAGATATCCTTTAGTTAAAGGAGGCAGGTCACGATTTAAGGGTACTTCAGGAGTCTTACCATACGGATTCATCGCCTGGCGGAACTGTTCGAAATCGTCGATGGATGCTTTAAGGACCTGTGGGACAACAAACAAAACGGCGGCAGCCAACAGCCACATGGCGATAGAAACGATCAGTGCACAGCGATGAGTTACTATGATGTGGTATCGCAAGGCGAATCTCACGGCGATGGACCGTTCCAAACTGATTAAGGCGAGGTGAAGAATGATAACTGAAAGGAGAAAGAAGCTGGAACATGAGCTTATGTTTCTCAGAATGCAAGACCAATGCCCATCTCCAAAGCGTAGATTTAAGTGTACGACGTCTAGGACTGACGGGATGGCTAGCAATCCATCAGCAATGGACAAACTCGCCAAGATTACGTTTGACGCAGTTCGAAGACTGTGAAGTTTGTGGAACGCCCGGAGTATGAGGTAGCTGCCGAAAACGGCTGCCACGGCCAAAATCACATGAAAAGTTATCATGATAATAGACTCGGCCTTCGTCAAAGCGTGGCCTTCAAGACAAACTTTAGGGGTAACGTTCATCTTTGTTTCGTTGTAGCAACATTTCCCTCGGTTACAGGACATGTTCTGCTAGGTCTGCTAAATTTAGAATTGCAATTAGCAATGTGTCCTTTTAAGTTTCTAATTCGCTCACAATTGCCTTTATCTGAATTTAAACTGGCCTGCGCGCAGCTGCGCTTCGCTGAATATTGAATATTAAAATGTTCTTAAATGAGGATAACTACAAATTACTATGCCCACAATTAATTTAGTAATAGGTTTGTAAGTTATGAAAGGCAATATTTTATTGTTAACAAAACACCCAATGACGCAAGTCCTCTTTGCAGAGTGAAATGGAACGAATAAATTATTTAGTAGAGACTGAATTGACGTGGTTCCCCAAGTTCTATGAAAACTTCCAAACCTTCCCCTATTGAAATAATTTATAGCGCTGTTAAGGGACAAGGGTGAAAACTGGCCAAATATGAGACTTCGTTAGGAATCGGACTGGTCAAGGCAAAAAAAAAAACAGGAAAATTTGACACATCGAAAAGGTTTGCGCGACTTCGAAAACAGCTCAAAATTAATTATTCGACAGCCACAATGTTCAAGACTTTCTGTCACCCACGTATGATGTTACGTGCGGTAATTAATTCTCGCGGACTGATCAGGCGCAAAAACTGCTCCCGCAAAAAAACACTACCGCAAAAATTAGTTCCATGGTCGAAATTATACAAAGCCCATTCAAGCCCGAAGTTTTGACGCAAAATAGATGTTGACTACCATACAAAAAGGGATACCGTGCACACCCAATTACAATATTTTAAACGACAATGCCATTTTAGTTATTTTATTTTCGGATGTTGTTTTTACCGTTTTTGACTCAGATAAACGTATAAGAATTGAATGCGATTTCTAAGAATAGCAAAAATTAATTCTGAACAAGAAAAACCAAACTCAACAGATCGGAAAAATTATTTCCCTCAAAATACGAATAACGTCCATTTGCAAAAACAAAGTGTCAGAAGGAAAACATGCAATTAACAAACGAGAAGGGTTCTGTTTGTTCAGTATATTGCAATAAGACAACGTTTTTAGTCATGAAAAGCAGTTATTTTAGTAAAGATAACAGGTGGATACACAACTTATATTCAAGTAATTCAGCTTTGTCTTCGAAAGAGACAATAATACCGTCTTGATATCGAGCAGCCATCCGGCAGCCGACTGATAAATCCCGCCGGGGGAGCACTCAACAAAGTTTTATACGGGGAGGCTCCGTTCCGAAGTCAAAAGATTTAACTTTTCATATACTACGTATACCATTTTTGACAGAAAAGGAATCCCTTTTGTATACCCTTTTATTGACAAATGGTACCGGTCCCCTTTCACATACCTAAATTAGGATGCTGCGTCGTTTTGAACTGCCATCTTCAGTGTAAATTCACTGTTAGTATCTTAATTGTGAAAAATTACTAAACCGGGAGGTTTTTCTCAACTTCTTCGATTCACAACCACAGCTTTTTGGGTCCGTTTACCAACGAAAAAAAAATTTTTCCGGCCCTATTCTTTCATATACTTCAACTAGCCAAGTGAAATCCCTAGCCTTTTATATACCTGCAGCTGAAGCTTTAACAAAGAACCCCGTTCGGGCGGATCTCCCCTTTAAGGCCACTACGCAAACTCGTGATACAAGAGGGAGGAAGGATTTTAAAATGATCCGGATCGGGTTTTCCTCCGTTACAGCGTTTTATTCGACTTGACATGAAATAGATAATTGGCCATGAGTTACTGGTAAACCAGTGACGTCATCCAGAACGGCAGACAACATGGGCGACCATGACCTCTTCGAATTCAAATTTATCGAAATATTTCTTTGGGTTAGACTTTAAAAAAGCACGATTTCATATTTCCATTCTTCTAACTAAATACTTACCAAAGATGACCCTTCTTTCAAACCTTTCTCTCCTTGGGGAGGAGGAAATCCGAAATAACAGAGACGAAAATGATCGTCGGAAAATTGAAATTTTCATCATATAGGAGACAAATATGTGTGCGACTGGGTCGTTATTTGACTCAACAAAGTACGAGGGCATTTGATTGTTTTACATAGTTGTTTCTTTACTCACAATCCGCAATAATTAACTTCTGTGAGTAAACATATCATAATGGTTTCCGTCGTGATCAATCCTAAGCGAGGCGACGAATATTCCATCCACTTTCATATGGAAGTCGCCCCCTTCCCCGGGCTCCCAATAGATCTTCTTTGAACCGTGTACATACACGGTACATAAGTTTTTGTGATTTGTTTTTGCGAATGGAATGTAAAGAACGTATTCATTGCATTATCCTAAGAGACTAGAATGCTTTAAATTCATTTAAAATTTTTGTGGGGAAATTTTGCTTCTTTCCCATGCTATCTGCAAAAGCTCCAGTGAAATTGGTCTGCTTTTTCTTTTACAACTTTTGGGAGTTAAAGGGTGACTGCTGGGGGTCCTGGAATCGCCGTTGGCATTTCCCAGCCATATCAACAATTCTTTGATCTTAAGTCTCAGTTCTTAATTTAAAATCCCTCTCAATTCTCAGCCGACAGTAAAAAATTTTGACAAATTCGCAATGTGTCAGTGTATGTCCTCCACTGGGCTTTTTTTTAATGATCTTTTCCCCTATATCTGATCATAAGAAATAGTCTCTTTTTTTACTCAAACTGTGACAAGCTTACATTCGTGCCACTGTATTATTATTATTATACATGAAATGAATAAGCATTTGACACCATACAGTTCCTGCGCAGGGATCTTTTTTGAGTCCAGTAATTTGGCAGATAGAAACCTCGAGCTGTTTTCAATGGCTTACCGAAGGGAGTTTGGTATCGTTTGAACCCCTTATGAGTTTCTGCCTGTACTTGTTTAATTCGCATTAAACAAAACATTTTTAAACACCTAAAAACGTTTGCGCACTAAGCAACATTTCAGCATCTTACGAAAAGCGTTCCTAAATTCTTCATTTTTCCATCCGTAGATAAGAGGGTTGCATATGGCATTCACAAACATGGCCACGTCTTAAAGGATTTGCTTCAGTAGCTTTTGATGGTAGCGGCCTCCGATTAATATGCCACGGAAGACTCGGAGGAAAGTCACAGCCAGCATAGGGATGATACTGAGTAGACACAGCGCTACAACAATGGCGAGAGTGCGGGCACCTTTCATTTGATGCTTGATAGTGGGCATTCCTGGAACGTCGCGGCCCTATTCTCTGACATGTTGTCTCTGCTTGTAGGATACTATGAAGATGTAGGTGTACGAAAATAAAATGATCAACAGGGGGACAAGAAACATTGACGCAGCTTGGAATACGAGATACCATCTGGTGTGGAGCACTTGGGAGGTACTAATGTCTGCGTTCATCTCTCTGCAACACTTTCTGAAATCTTTCCCTGTTGTCTTAAGCAGCCTTGGCAGAGCTATCGTAACGACCAGAGCCCACAGCCACATTGCGATGGAAACGATCCGCGATCGGCGTTTGGTCACTATGGTGTGGTATGTTAAGGCGAACTTGATGGCGATGAAACGCTCCACACTCATTAATGCGAGATGAAGAATGATGACCGAAACGAGAAAGAAGGTGAAAGTTCCGCTTACCTTTTGAATAACAGGCATACGTAAAAGATACTTAGCATTATACCTTAAGGTCAAATTAATGATGTCTAGAATTCGGGGAATCGCCAGTAAACCGTCAGCGGTAGACAAACTCACCAGAATGATGTTAGACGCAGTTCGCAGATTTTGAAATTTGTGAAACGCTCTGAGCATCAAATAGCTGCCGAGCAAGGCAGCGACTGTGATAATCACATCAAAGTTCAACTGTAGGATAAATTTCCACGTTTTCATCTGCGAGGTATGGTTTCGACCAGAACAATTCATCTGTGTTTGGTTCATTGGAGGAATATTGTGCCAGCTATGTTGTCGGTAAAGTTTGGCACTGCCTTATAGTCAGAACTTAATGTAATTATGCTCTCCTGATAAATGCTACTGTTGATCCGTTTCTTGTCACACTTACTCGACAAAATAAATGCTGGCAGCCATAGCCAGGTGACCTGGCGGCTCATTTTAAGATATTAGATAACGGTATCTAGTTTCCAGTCATAGCGTTCCCTACAAGTTTTAATAGCGTCAAAACAAAATACAAATGAATACTGAATAGCGATGAAATATGATTATAATAAACCTTTTTGTAACCTAAAATTTCGTAATTTCTCTTCCAACTTTATGAGGTTGCAAACAAATAAGCTGGTTTATATCTGGCACGTGCCCTAACAAATGCCTTCTAAACGTCAAACTCTTAAGTTTTTCCTTTCAAATCCATTAAGAAAACAAATAACATGTCAAAATTTTATACTATAGAGTTAAGGAAATGAAGTAGCTATCACGGCCGTGTATTATCAGTATTTTTATGTCCTTATTGCTATTAAACAACTGACTTGTTTTAAAAGGGGAAAATGAATAATACCTATTAAACAGTGTCAGTCCAGTGTATTTAGACTTGGTAAAACAGGAATCTTGCGATTGTAGAACTCCTAAGAGATTTTCTATAGAGCCAATCTTTTTGGAGATAATCGCCATGCTTCTTATCGTTTCACCGAGCAAAATTAGAACTAAAAGTCGTTGCTATACCAGGTATAAAGACGCGGCAAAGAATTAATTCCTTCTCTCATTGTTATTATGATTATGATAATTATGATTAAGATTATTTTTCTTATTATTAGTCAACAGTTACCGGCACCGTACAAACGACTTATTGACGAAAACTAACTACGAGAAAACGACTGGACAACTGTCTTTTTAACTGTGACAATGGACGGATCGAAACGCACCAAAAACATTACGAGTCTTCATAGCCATTAACATCACGGCTTAACTGACAGAAGACCAATAACATCGCGACTTGATTGACCAATCAGGTCAATAACCACAGTTAAATAGCATCAACTGACGTGATACAACTCACTTTGACTCTGAAGGTGACCACCGCACAGGTTGTCGAAACGTCAGTCACTGTCAACAACAACAGACCTATTCACGACTACGTTCACCCGGAAGAACATACTCAACCTTTAACTTATGAAATGACTCCTGGGTTATTATTATTATTATTATTATTATTATTATTATTATTATTATTATTATTATTATTATTATTATTATTATTATTATTATTATTATTACAAACGAACTCTTAAGTCAGTTTATTGTTTTCAACAGACTTGCTTCTTTGGGGTTTAAAATAAATTTTCAATTCTTTGCACTGAAAGGAAAAGAAAAGCAAAGTAAAGATGCGATTATCAGCTGAATACAAAGTGTTGTCATTCAAGGAAGCAGACACTCTGGCTCAACACGTCCTGCTTTATTGTAAATGGAAACACGTCATTCACTAAGTAGTAAAATAATGAATGGAATTCATAATCGCTGGCGACATTTAAAACAAATTTAAAACTTGTTAAGCAGCGGAAGTAGTTTGGAGCGGAACACAGATAATAACGAACGCTCACAATTTTACATGCGCAGGTGTTCATGTTAAGCCGAAAAGAAGCGACCAAAAGAAAACAATTTGCGAACACCCGAAGATGGCTGCAAAACTTAGTTATTTACCACTTTTCTTAAGTCATTCGAAGTTTGGAACCAATAAGCAATTTCTTTGATAAAAATGGATTACAGTGATGCTTAATACTGAAAAAGACTTTTCGACCACCCAGTTCAGTGGTTTTTAAGCTTAAAAAAGGCGATTAAAATTACCATATTATATATATCATATTGTAAACTTTAACGAAAACATAATTTAAAAAACTTTTCAGTCAAATGAAGACTTGACGAAGCAATTCTTCCTAAGCAAGGTTGCGAACAATACAGGTAAAACAAAAACATGCGAGATAAATGAAAATATATTTGGCCTTGTTCACGATTTTCCTTCTGGTGTCAAATAACAAGAAAAAAAAATGAAAAAACGCCTGAAACGATGTCTGCCATGTCTGACTTCGAGATGGAAGGCCCTGGAGCGAGTAAAACACAAGTAAACTGCAATTAGCACTTACACCACGGGTGCAACGGTTCACTTGTTCACAATGCAAGAGCCTAGTAAACGTGTCATTTCCGCCCTTGCACCCTTCGTGTTTTATGAATACATCGCAGGTAAGTCATTTTTATTTATTTCATTGAAGGAAAAATTCGATTTAACGTTATTTAGCGTTCACAGATCTCAGTATTTTATTTCTCAAACAAAGTCTCATATTTTCAACGATCGCCTGTAACGCGACACCGACGCGTCTAGCAAAAAGGTCACGCGTCACCTATGGTAAGTAGATTACTTTACCCCCTGTCCGCGTAACGTGAAAAATTCTAAATGTATCAGTGAGTGTCCTCCACTGGGCCTCTTTCAAAAGTCTTTTTTTTCACTAGATCTGATCATAAAAAATATAATTAGTTTCATTTTTAAGGCAAAAAGGAAACTTTTCTTATAAAATTTGACATCTTACATTCGTGGCACTATATTATTATCATACATGAATAAGCATTTGACACCATACAGTTCCTGCGTACGGCTCTTTAATTCAGTCCAGTAATTTAGCAGGTAGAAACCTCTTGAGCTGTTCTCAGTGGCTTACGAAAGGGAGTTTGGTATTGTCTGGTACTTGATACTTGGCCAATTTGCCTTAAATAAAATAATACAGTTAATCTTGGGTATGGCCTAGGACGCCTAACACCGTTCACGCGCTAAGCTCACTTAGCAGCATTTCAGCATCTTACGAAAAGCGTTTCTAAATTCTTCATTTTTCCACCCATAGATAAGAGGGTTGTATATGGCATTCAACAACATGGTCACGTCGTAGACGATCTTGTGCAGTCTGAACATTTGATGGTCGTGGCCCCCGAGTGATTTGTCACGGAAGACTCGGAGGGTTGTCACAACCAGCAAGGCGATGATACTGAGTAGACACAGGGCTACAACAATGGCGAGAGTGCGGGCACCTTTCAAGTGATGGTTGATGGTGGGCATTCCTGTGACTTCGCGGCCCTGTCCTCTGACAAATTGTCTCTGTTTGTAGGACACTATGAAGATGTAGGTGTACGAGCATAAAATGATCAGGAAGGGGACAAGAAACATTGACGTAGCAATGAATACAAGATGCCATCTGGTGGGGTGCACTTGGTTTGTATTGTGTGTTGTATTACATTCATGTGTATTCACATGTCGGGGAAATTCTCTGAAATCCTTGCCTGTTGTCTTCTGAAGAACCTCCGGAACAGCCACATTAACGACCAGAGCCCACAGCCACATCGCGATGGAAACGATCCGTGCTCGGCGTTTGGTCACTATGGCTTGGTATCTTAAGGCGAACTTGATGGCGATGAAACGTTCTGAACTCATTATGCTGAGATGAAGAACAATGACCGAAAGGAGGAACAAGGTGATAGTTCCGTCTACTTCTTTAAGAATATGCATATGTGGACAAGGCTCAACATTACACTTAAGGCACAAATGAATGATATCAAGAATCAAGGGAATCGCTAGTAAGCCGTCGGCGATAGACAAACTCACCAGAATGTTGTTGGAAGCAGTTCGCAGGTTCCGAAATTTGTGAAACGTTCTTAGCACGAAATAACTCCCAAGCAAAGCAACGATTGTGATAAATCCATGAACGTTCAACAATAGAATAAATTCCCACCTCGGTAAGGTACAGTTCTTCATTGGGGGAGGAAGATACGTTGTCCGTACAGTTCAGAAGGGATTCTTCTGTGTTTGGTAAATTGTGGGAGGAAAATTGTGCCACCTGTGTTCCTATATACAGTTCGAAACACTTACTTATACCACTGTTGTTCCGTTTCTCATCATAATCAAACTAGTCACCAATGGCCAGGTGAACTCAACTCTGTATATGATCAAAGGATATTAGTTAACAATTATTCGTCCAGTGCAAATGGGCTCTGAGTCAATAGCCCATGAGGCCGACGGCCGAATGGGCTATTGACTTAGAGGCCATGGGGGCGAGAGGAATAATTGTTTTAGTAAAATCCAACTAGTTGGTCAAAAATATCGAGACAAAACAACTTTAGCTATCAAAACGCGATTCAGCCGCCATTGTTTTGGTTTTTAAAGCCGACGCTTTTCGCTAGATTAGTGGGCTATAACATATAGCCTAGTAGTAGCTCAACCAATCAGAACGCAGCGTTGATAATAGACCACTGGTTGGATTTTACTAAATAACGATAGCAACTATTGATGATGTTCCTTTTGTTTTAATAGCGTCAAAACAAATACGACGCATCTGCAATAAAGGTAAAATTAAACCATTTCTATTAACCAAAATCCAAATAAACGTGATTGTCCATAAAATATGCAGGTTAATGTCAGGTAACTGCCTTAATTACTGCCTTCTAAAACGTCAAACTCTAAATTTCTTGGCAAATTCATTGAGAATCCATTAAGAAAGAAAATAAAATGTCAAAATTGCGTAGTATAGAGTTAAGGAAATAAAACTAATTATCACGCATTGTGTTCTAAGTTCTATTAAACAACTGACTGCTTTCAACGGGGAAATGAACAAGCACAAAGTCAAATAATTCATAAAAAAGAACCTTATATTTGGCCTAGAAAGAAAAACAAAAGAACTGTGGGCACTCTTAATAAAAAGTGGTTGTAACAGCAGGCTTTGAAAGTGTCATAAACTAGTAAGTGCGTCTTATCGAGTTTAAAATAGAAGGAACAACATGTACGAAGTGCGAGCTTATTCAGTAACAGATCTAAAAACCTCTCCTAAATACTCCTTTGAATTAATGTTATTATTATTATTATTATTATTATTATTATTATTGTTTTTTAAGAGAATATCAAGTCAGTTTATTAATATGAACATCAGAACCGGCTTCACACGTAAGAAATGCATGGGTCCTGTTTCTATGCGACTGTGGATAAGTTTGGCTTAAATTCTAATATGTACTGAATGGAGAAGAGGATCAAAGTGAAGGCGCCATTGTCAGCTGAACAGAAATTGTTTTTATTCATGGAAGTAGACACACTGGCTCGACACCTTCGTTTTTGAGCCATTAATCAAGCGACTAGGAAACGTCAGTTTTCATTTCTAACTTTGTGATGCTGTGTTACTAAAAATCAATTGAAACGCGTAAACCACTATGTAGGAAAATAATGAATTCAGAAGGATAAATAAATTGAATTCATACTTGCTGGCGACAGTTATAACAAATTAAACTTATTAAAGAGCGAAAGACGTTTGGAGCGGAATAGATGCAATAAAGAACGTCCATATTTCTACAGGTGTTCATGTAAAGAAAAGAGGCGACCAAACAGGAAAAATTGGCAAACACCCAAATATGGCTGCAAAACTTAGTTTGCCACTTTTCTTTTTCGAATTTCAGAACCCACGGGCAGTTCCTTTAATAAGGAAATTTTACATGCAAAAATAGAACTCTAATACCACTCAGCGGCGATCTGTTTGAAGCATACAGAAGGTGCTTAACGTTTTTATTAGTATATCATTCTGCTTAACTGGGAGAGTGTTTATTTCCGGTTTGAGGAAGTACGACACCGCATACTATTAAAGTCGTTTTTCTTTTCCCGCGGGATTCGGGTAGGTATCGTTCTGGATGCCATATGATTTCACGGGTTGGACGAAACCAGTCTTGAACTGGCTGGCTGGCTCATTTGACCTCGATCTCATGCCATAGTTTTTCTCGGCCGAGAACTGGTATCTATTTTGTGCGTCGCTCGTTTACCGCAGATAATTTTTGTTTTACTGTATCCTGGCGAGGTGTATCAATACCGGTTTTTGGTATTCGTTTTCATTTAAGTTTTTTTTCTAGGAAAAACAAGATAATCCGATAATTAGATTTTGTGTTAACAACGTGTTCGGCACACTGTATTTGCTGATATGGATAAGAGCTACATCAACTTAGATCGACCATCACCTCTTTTGTAAATAACATCACTTCTTTTTGAAAAACTGCTCGCAGTCTTAAGTTCTTGGAAATTTTTTGTAGTTTGTCTTAACCTTACTTACACATTGTACTGAATAGAACGCTCATTATCATTGCCCAAAAGCTTCCTTAACCTTGAAGTTTAGTTTATAAAAACCGGGATGAATTTCAGCGGGATTTTCGAGTAACAGCATTTTATTTTAGACCCGGGGATAAACTTAAAACCTCTAGTCCATTATAGTATATTTTGTGGCAAACTATGGACTCATCTTAGTCACTTTTGGATAAATTGGATAAATTGGATAAATTTCGTATGGATGTAATGAAAGCTGATCATGCACGTGTTAACTGTTAAAAAAAGGAATTAAATATGCCGCAGCAGTTTTTTTTTCTTCCTATTTTTCTTACCAAAATACCTACTGCCAGAACTTGCTCCTAAGTCTGGAAAATGTTCGACCCTATTCGAGTAATTTTTTTCTGGTGGCAAATTCTCCACTTAAAACACCAGGCTCTTTAATCCCAGCTTCCAACAGCGCACAACTTCGCGTTTTAAGAGCACTTCAGCAGTTTGCGAAAAGCGGTTCTGAATTTTTCATTTCTCCATCCGTAGACAAGAGGATTACAGATGGTGTTTAAGCCTGTTGCTAAGTCAAAAACAATAAACTTAATTAACTTTCTCTTTGGGTCGCAACGTTCGGGAAGTTCGCTGAAAAAGCGAAGGCCTGTCATGATTATCAGTGGGACGATACTGAGAAGGCAGACGGCTACAACAATAGCAAGAGTACTGGCGCCTTTCATTTCGTGCTTGATGGCGGTAGCCATTCCTGGAATGTTGTTTTGTCCTCTTATATTTTTCCTTTGTTTGTAGGAGACGATAAAGATGTAGCCATATGAACACAAAATGATTACCAAGGGGATGACTAGCAAAAACATTACCAGAAAGATGAGAAGCCCCTTCATTAACGGATTAAGATCGTGATCCAAAGAATCTTCAGGGTTTTTACAGTGTGGATCCATCGCTTGGCGAAACCGTCCAATGTCTCCACTGTTTGCTACAAGTGTCGTTGCAAAAGTTATCGTAACGGTCGCAGCAAAAAACCACATCGCCACGGCAACGATCAGTACTCGAGGATTGGTTACTATGGTGTGGTATCTTAAGGCGAACTTCACGGCGATTAAATGTTCTACGCTTATCAACGCCAGGTGAAGAATTATAACGGAGATGAGAAAGAAGCTGGATATGAAGGTTATTTTTCCAAGAGGACCGGAGCTACACTCAGCATCAGAGCCGTTTAACAGTCTAAGACTCATTTGGACGATGCCGAAAATCAAAGGAATTGCCAGTAAACCGTCAGCTGTTGACAAACTTACCAGAATAACGTTAGAAGCAGTTCGAAGACTATGAAATTTGTGAAACGCTCTAATCACAAGATAGCTACCGAAGACGGCGGCGACAGTGAAGATGAGATGAATGCTCATAACTGAAATTATAATTACTGTTTCCTTCGCCAGGCTGAGGTTTTGAGCAGGGCAATACGTTTCGTTTAGCCCACATTTATCCTGGTTACAAGACAAAATTGCTGGCCCTGATGTGTTTTCAAACTTCAATGCTGGCTAAAGTTAATTATAGCAACGAGACCAGCAGATCGTACAATGTGGTGTTCCTCTCTAAATTATGCTCAGCTGACTTTTACTTGAATCGTAATGGGGTTAAGAACTGTCAGCTGTATGCAAAAGGTCAGAATCAACACGCGGCCCATAAAATCCACACAACAACAAAATGACAACTATTCTTCTATTCGTAGTTAAACCAGTTAGTAGTTAGTTCGATACACTCTTTTTTATATTTTTCCCGCCTGCTTGCATGCTGCCTCTTAGCTGCGCGGACTCCTTTTTAACACAGACGCATACGCGCAGACAAAACCAACTGGCCGGACTAATTCTGATTGCTTTCGCTTAACACAAGATCGTGTAATTGCTATTATTGGAAGGGGTTTGCTTCCCTGTTTCACATGTTAATCAAAAGGATGAGAAGGAAACGACTTTCTTAAAAGCATTGAGAGTTCGAAGTAGTCAACTTTTGCCGTACACTTTTCGAGAGAATTATCTTTCGCTATTTTCGCGATCCGGGAAAAATCGCGAAATTTAATACCAGACACACCTATACGCAAAAAAATAACGAAATTCAAGATGTTGCTTTATTAGTTATCCCAACAAGTTTATCAGAGTGTAGATATTTACTATGTAACTATCTGTGGGTACTTACACTGTAGTGAGACCATCGAAGGCCTTATGCTTTGTTATGTTTAGCTGGTTGACGTTTTGTTCGTAATCGTCTTTGTTTTCTGTTTTATTACGGTAATTACTTATTCTGCTGTTACTGTTCTGAGTTTAAAGTCGCCTTTACATATTAAAGAACAGAAAAATCGAAAAGTTAAATATTCGCGAAATATGGCTCATAATTTTTCGCCAAATCTAATACTCGCGAAATTAAGTGAGAATAAAGTACGTAAACGTGACAGGGACGTCAATCGAACTTGAAGTCTTCGTAGCAAACACTTATTTATTTTGTTCTAAAAGCACAATGTCAAAATCCTTGCGCTTTGAAATAGCTCTTGCCAAGGCTATTGCACTCTGAAATAAAACGGAAGTAACGGAGAACTTAGACTTTAGACTCGCCTTGGATGCATGGCTGTGAGGGGCGCATTTTTTACGCCGAAGAGGTGGGCATGTCTATGGAAGGAGACTAAACATGGCTAATTACATTTCGGCCGTTCTTTTTTTTTGTCACTTAAGTCTTTATACTTGACTGATGAAGACTACCAGTAGTCTCTTATTTATCCATTAGAGTTACTAAGTAAATGGGGTGGCACACTTCACAAGCGAGAAGCGCGCGTCACAAGTTTTCCTCGCCCGTTTTGCTCGAAGAACCAAGAAAAAACGGGTTTTCTCGTAATGTAAATTGACATCACTCTATCGCTATTTTCTTTTCTTCTTTTTGGGCACTGCTATTTTCTCTGGATCTACAATACAGTATAATATCAACTTCTTTTGCACCTGAACATCAAATATATTAGTAAAACACACAGAATTTGAAAAAACCATTGATTAGTTTGTACACTAAAGATTTCTTTTTTACCCATCATATAGACTGATTGATTGATTTGTCTCTTTTCTATTTCTTATTGCTATTTAACACCCAGTCCAGAACAAAAACCTCATAAAACGCGACACTTGCCTTGCAAGGTCCCAGAAACTATAATGCACTTGCAAAGGGATTCAGACCATTTCCAAAATATACTGCTGAGTATTAAGAAGACAAAGTTGACCGGCAAGGTACCCAAAATGATTAAAAATATTTTTAATATAATAGATATCGGAAATCTACTCAATGACTTCCCAACAATGATTTCTCAACATAACCCGAAGTTGTTCCGAAGTTTCCAAAGTTTTATGAACATTTGTAAAGTTTTATCAAGCGCGTATGTTTTAATTAAGATTAATAAGTTATAATGGTAAGGATGTTTTCAACGTTTTGGAGCTGTCACCATCCAGGTTGTCTAAAATAATGAATTCTCAAATAATGTGTTAAGGTGTTGTTATGCCAGACAAGGGCTTTCCAGATTGGTCTCGTCCATCTTTATGGTCAATACTCGTATGATCCCACATGTTGTGCTAAGGTTGATATACCAAATGGGAGTTAACCAGATTGGCCAAGAAGGTCATTTAAATCCTGCTAAAATACTAGACCAGATGAAAAGTATCTAGATTGGCCCCTCCTGAATTTACCCCTTCTTCTGATGGTCTGCAATACTTTTAGCCCCAAAACAGTGTAATAATAATAATAATAATAATAATAATAATAATAATAATAATAATTTATTCATTTATAGTGCGCTTTTTAACATGCTAGGTGATCAAAAGCGCGGAGGTGTTGTACCAAATAGGGGCTATCCGGATTGGCCCCTCCAGAACACATCTCTCCATCGTCATGGTCAACACTCTTGGTCCAAAAAAGTGTGCTAATGTGTTATCCAAACAGTGGCTAACCAGATTGGCCCTTTCAGAATATATCCATCTATCATCATAGTCAATAAGCTTTGTCCAAATTAGTGCGCTAAAGTGTTACACCAAAAAGGGACTATCCAGATTGGCCCTTCCAGAACATACCCCTCCGTCGTTATGGTCAATACTCATGGTCCTCATTAGATGCCCTACCTCTCTGTTCACCAGTATTTCATCTCCTCGACTAACAACAACAACAACCAATCGTTAGAGGGAAGGAATATCTGCGTACCCCTATTTTAAATCAGCAACAATTTATTTTTCGACTTAGCACGCAAGGTGAGAAAATGATTGATTCATGTGAGATTGCTCGCTTCGAATTTAGACTATAAGAATCACTTGTGTACATTACACATTACAAGTGGTAATTTGCATGAGTTGAAAGCCAGTCGAGTATCGTTAAGAAAACAAAGATTACCATGCGCACTCAGGCATGACAAGCAGAGTAGGCGGTTTTCAAATTCCCGGGGTTTGTCTGCAAGCGTTTCTTTCCTTTCTTCCTCACCCCCTCCCCGCTTACTCGGGCCATTTTTCGCGCGGTCTTTGTTGCGCGGTCTTTGACTCTCGAAACAGCACGGAAACGCTTGCTACGCAGGCTACAAAGAATTACACACTTTTGTTATCGCCGAACAATCCGACTGAAGCAGGAAAATTTCTCTTGCAATGACAAGACAAATTACACAAGAAGACACTAACCAAAACAACTGCTGCCAGGTCTTCTCAAGAAGCCGTAATGACCAGCCATTGTTCGTAAATGAATATAAAGTTAACGTAGGATGACAGTCGTCTTCGCTGGAAAACACGTTTTCTGGATTTCGCCGAGCAAAACATAAACATCTTTAAAGCAAATTCAAACCAATCCAAACCATACTCCACGACTTCTTACGAACATGTGAGTATTTTCACTTTAGGTGGACTTTAAGACTCTTTTACCTTTGTTTCTTTTTAGTTTTCATTGATCGTTAACGAATAAACAACTGAATAAATAAGCAAATTTTCTTTCTCAGTTTTACAGAAACACTTTTCATTCAAACTAGACCATTGTGGCGTGTTTGTAATCAGCCAATAGACTGAATCGTTTGTTATTGTAAAAGCAAAAGCAATTATCGACCAGTGACCGTATTACCTGCGCTCAATAACGTTTTTGAGAGGCTACTTTCAACTTAGCTTTCAAATCATGATGTACAAATAGCAAATAAATGGTTCGAAGACAATGGGATGAAAGCAAACCCTGCTAAACATCAAGGGATGGTTCTTGGAAAAACCGATTACCCTTTCTCCTTTTTAACCATAAGATGCCTGGATCTTTTTGGAATATCTCTAGACAATGAACTTAATTTCAAGGATCACATATCCTCTGTATGCAAAAAAATAAATAATCAGTTCAGTGTCTTCAAAAGATTTGGCAAACTTATCTCATCTGAAATTATGCTTCGCCTTTATAAAGCGTTTATCTTACCCCATTTTCACTACTGTTCAATGATATAGCACTTTTGTAATTCAGAAGATTCTGTCAAACTGGACACCTTAAATAGACGTATTTTAAGATTTGTTTTAAAGGGCTGGGACTCGAACTATGATGCTCTTCTAGACAAGGCTGGTGTGTGTGGTTTAGCCAACAGGAGGATACAAAATATGATGATTTGTATATTCAAATGTCTCCATTTTGGTAAATATCGGTGCTATTTAAAACAACTGATCAAGTTAAGATCTACTGCTTACTCCCTACGGGGTATTAATATTTTATCACTTCCTAAGCCGTCTACAACCACATATATGGTCTAAATTCCTTTAGCTATTCATCTGTTAAGTACTGGAATTCTCTACCTGATCACTTTAGAAAGACTGTAGATTATAGTGAATTTAAGCGCAAATTGTTAGTGCACAGTTTTAGTTAATACTACATTAATTAATATTATATTATATATGTTGTAACTTTTAAAATTAGTTAGGATCGGAGATACTAGCTATGTAAGCTACACTAAAATCCGAGGATAAATAAAGTTTATGTAAGTATGTATTGTGTCTCGCGTTACGAGAATTTTGTAGTTAATCGAAAAGCAAGCGTTTTTGGCAGCTATGTTATAAAAGAATTTGCTAGTGCTTTTAGCTGTGCGTATATCGAGTTATGGATGCACTTGGGAAGTTTGGAGAGCACTCAAGAAGTCTTCCGTGCTCTCCAAACTTCCCGGGTGCATCCATAACTCGATATACGCACGCTAAGCATGAACAAATTAAAAGCTTAGATTAATTGTCATGTCCACAAATTTGGAATATAGAGTTAGAGAAAGAAGGCGGCAGGCCAGCGAAGCTCAACGAGGAAAAGGGCGACAGAGATCTAGAGCAAGAGACAAAGAAACAAAGAAGACATTTTTTCGTTGGAAGAACAACATGAAAATATTGTAGCGGAGGTG